AGAACCTAAGGTATTGAAGTAATGTGAGGTTGTGCACTATGCTGTCACCACAGCTCGTATAAATGCACCGAAGTGCCCCGTAGAATTGCACCGTAGTGCCATATAATAATGTCCATAAGGACCACATAGAATTCCTTAAGAATCATATACATATACTATGGATCAAGTATGTGTCTTTCAAGACTTCACACAGGTTCCAAGGATATACATATGTCCTAAGAACCGCGTAGAATTGCACCGTAGTGCCATATAATGATGTCCAAAGGACCACATAGAATTCCTTAAGATCATAACATACTATGGATCAAGTATGTGTCTTCCAAGACTTCACACAGGTTCCAAAGGATATACATATGTCCTAAAGAACCGCGTAGACCCTCTACCCTTGGCATGCCAACTATACCTATAGTTCTCATCTACATAACATGGGCTTATACATTTCCCGTAGTTCATATCGCGTAGTCATATTATTTCATACCTTTATCACATAGGCATATAACTTTTTCTGCATATTCATGTCATGCAATACATAATATGAATTCATGTCATGTAATACATTTAATATAAATCATGTCATGTATCATAATATGGAATGTGATCATATGTCAAAATATGGAATCTAGACTTATCACAAGTCTAGAACTGAATATAATACTATATTCATGCTATGCATATGCACTCACCTATACTTCTTTGCCTTTTCCTCGATCGATTCTACTTGTAGATTGTTCCGAACTCGAGTAGGCTCGGTATCTACATAAACATAATTTTTTTAAGATGATCATCAGATGTCTATGTCTTGAAATTAAGCTTTAATAGCATACTAATTTAAGAAATTATAGCTTAGTCTTTCTTTCTTTTCTTTCTTCTTTTTTTCTCATGGGGGAATCGGTTCCCCCCCTGGGGGTATCGATTCCCCTCAAGCAATCTGGAATTTCTTATATGATGAGGGGGTATCGGTTCCCCCCTGGGGGTACCGATTCCCCTCTAGCATTCTGGAAATTCATTTCGTTGAGGGGGTATCGGTTCCCCTTGAATGGGTACCGATTCCCCTAACCCAGAAATCCTATTTTTAGCCGAATCATCTCATTTCAACTCAAACATACATATTTCAATCCCTTTAGTACTCTTAGCTCTCATACACTTACTTAAACTAATTATTATCCATTAAATACCTCTAAAACCTAGAAATCTAATTCTCCATGTAGAATTTAAGAATCCAACCCAAATTCCATATGTTCTAATTTGAATTCTAACAACCTCATACTTCTTAGTTAGCTTCTTGACAAGTCAAAAAATCTTATTCAAACTTCAAAAACTCATTCCCATCAAAATTTCATCTAAAAATTCATTTTCCAAATCATTCTCTAAAACACTTATCTTGTTGTTTTAATGTCATATAAGCTTTCCTTTAGCTTATATAAAATCCAAGCTTTCATTTACAATCTTAAAAATCAAAGAAACTACCAAGGTTCAGATTCTTACCTTTACTTGCAAGCTCCCCGTTGAGAGAAGGAAGAGAAGAAAATAAGGAAGAAGGAAGAAGGAAGAAGAAATGGGAGGGTTCTGGAACCTAATGTCACACGTGGTTCTCATATAACCCCATAACATTTTATTTTAATTAAAATTTCCTTACAAATGACCATTTGGTCCTTACCTCCATCTCATATTTACTAACCATACTTTTTAAACTATATAATTATTCTACTTTAATCACCAAATGTTGAAACTTTGCAAACTAATCACTCACCCGACATGGAGGATGTTACATATACTTATAGTCACATTGCTTATATCTTAATCTTATGCCTTCTCTTAAACATATATATATATATATTCACATGTTCAGGTAATCCACCATTTCATCATAATTATGTATTCATAACTCATTTCATTTCATATATCTATATATATATATATTCTCAAGATTTATCCTAATATAAATCATATAGCACTCTTATAATTCATATTCATATTCATCTATGCCGGACTTATAAACACATCTCACTTCTATTATTTCTTTATATATATATAATCTAATATGTTTATTTAATTCAATTTCATATAACTCTTATAATTCTCATATAGCTTCATAAATTTCTATCATACAACCCCTGTGTTATAGTTTTATTTAAACATATGAATCTTTCCCATCTAGCTTATCTTATATGCTCATATTATCATTTATGTTCAAATCTCCTAGTTAGTGTACTATTCTCACATTATCCTATAGATCAATATTATCTAGCTTATTTCACTTATCATTTAATAATATAATTATATTTTACTATGATCACATAGTTTATATCTCATATAATTCATAACATTTCTTATGTAATCACTTATACTTTATCACCTAACACATAAAAGAACAGATCAATCCATATAATTAAGCATACATACATGCATATTCAACTCATGCCTTTATCATGAATTCATGTGTACACTTCAGGAAATAGACTCATCGCAAGTCTTATTCCCATCGCACATCAATACTATTGAATATGCACTCACCTGGCCTCACTAGTCAAATTCCAATCTCTTATCTTTCCCCTTGATCGATCTTACTTGTCAATGATTCCGGAACTGCTTTACGCGCCAGAATCTCATAAATGTACATTTTAAGGCAATCATTAGATACCTACACCTTTAATTAGATACTAGCAACTTAAACGAACTATTAAACCAATATTCCCATTTTTCCTTTAGGGGAATCGGTTCCCTACTATGGGGTATCGATTCCTAATGACATTCTGGAATGTTGTTCGTTTGAAGGGGATCGGTTCCCCTTGAATGGGTACCGATTCCCCTTGCCCAGAAATCATATTCAGCCCAAAATTACTTCATTTTCTCTCAAACACTTCATATATCATCCCCTTTTTCATTCTAACTCTAGTACACATACTTAAACCAATATATTCATTTATTTCATCTTAAACCTCAAAATCCTATCTTCCATATGAGATTCAAAAATCATACCAAATTTTCAATGTGTTCTAATTCCAATTCTAAACACTTCATACTCTTAATTAGATTGATGACAAGTCAAATTCATCCATAAAACTTCAACAACCAACCATATCAAAATTTCATCTTAAAACTCATTGCAAATTCCTTCATAATTCCTTTATCTTATTGTTTAAATCCCATATAAGCTTTCCTTAAGTTATTTAATACCCAAAGAATCAAAACTAAGCTTAAAACTCAAGAATTAACCAACTGAAATTAAACTTACCTTTGCCTTGCCACCACGTATGAAGAGAAGAAAGGAGAGAGAACTCTGGATGTTTCTCATATTTCCCCACGTTTATATTACCTTTAAAAGAATATAAAAATCTTTTGGTCAAATGACCATTTAACCCTTAATTTCCTTTAATAATTACTAATTAACCTTCATCTATATATCCAATAATCATGAACTATTTCATTCTTATACTTTAGTCACCAAATTCTGAAACTTTACAATTTGTCACTAACCCGGTATTGAGGATGTTACAAATCTCCCTCCTTATAAGAAAATCGTCCTCGAATTTTCACGGCACATCTTAATAAAACATATCTTCTAATGTTCTTGTTGCTTCCCTGACTATTCTTTCCTTGTCATCATCAGAAACTTACTTTTCAATCCTTAAGTTTTCCGACTATCTTTTTCGTTATACATCATCATCTGTTGCTTATATAAAACAATAACCAGTAATACCAATCCATTGTTGTCTTTTCTCTTATTCGATTATGCATCTTTGACCTTTCTAAAATTCAATATAATGTCACTCATCACGTTGACAGTAACATCCATCTCTATATCATAAATCCATCTATTTCTTCATAATCTCTAATTACCTTATAAACCATACCAAACTTGTATTTCGTCATCATTTGACCAAAACACAACTCTAAATCTTCTTCAATGTGATTAAACATATACTTAAGGAGTCAAACAATATTTTCACATCACCTTGCACACTGTCTTATTTCTATATCAAAATTGTCCTCTGTACTTTCATATTTATCGTATCTGATCCTTAAATCAATCCCTTTCATTTCTTTATTCAGTCTTCCTTATACATAAATCATATATTTCCTTTCATGTTCCCATACTCTTGTCTTATCACTTATACTCATCTTTATGTACCAATCTTCATTGCATCCTCGTTACTCTGATAACCCATTTCTTATATATAACTTCATTCTTTATCATTTCTTATACTTGTATTTTCCTTCCTGAAAGTTTCATGCAAATACTTATCAGTGTCTTCATCATAGCTATCTGCTCAAACATACAACTATATTCAAATTCACATCATAATCAATTAACTCCACTTTATCTTTCCTCCAATCTTATAACTCTAGCACCTTTACTCTGACAACTAAATAATAACTTTTGTTCAATCTAGGGCACAAGCCCTATTATACCAATTATATACATCATTTCCAATCTAAATTATCTCAACATTCGCTTACTCAACTTATCAATTTTACCTCTATTTCATACATCCTGAAATTTCTTTTACTCAAACTCAACATTCTGACTTCCTGTGTCCTATAATCTGATCATCGATATACACATTCTCAAACTCTTCTTATCCATCCTCAGCTTTACTTAAATATACAATTCTTACTTCCTTTTCCTTTACTATACCACATTACTATGATCCAAATATGCAACTATATCCAGATCCATTGCAGATCTGGTTATCATATCCTGACAATATCTTATAATCTTATAATTCCAGTACATTTTTATCATATACTCTAGTTAGCCAATGCTAACTCTTTCCATCTTAACTGCAAACCCTTATCATAACCATACTCTTGTTTATGCGCAATACTATCACTTCATTTCAAACTCATAAGCTCTGACTTATACATCTTATACACTTGTCACTGATGCACTTATCCTTGAGTTTCTTCTATACGTACTCATCATGTCCTTAATCTTTTAACCTTCTTATGGTGACACCTGTTCACCATATTCTATCTTATCCACATAATAACAAAACTACTCTATATCGTTTTTCCGATTCCAAACGATGAAACTTTCTATCATTATTCAGATGATTTCAGCTTTCTGAAATCAACTTTTGATCTTACTAGGCATTTCCTGAGGTGTCCGCTCTTCATCCTGCCTGGCCAGGGCAGGTGAATAGCTATCACAATCAGGAATATCACCTTTCACTTACTTCGAAATTATCACGATCGGATTTCTACTGTATTAAATTATTCTTATTCTATTAACAAGACAACATACTCCTTACACTATCAGATCATAAATTTTTCAATCTAGGTTGGCATGTACACCTTTTATGACACTTTGGACTTCGGTTTATGCCAAGAATCGGCTAAACCATAGCTCTGATACCATTAAATGTAACACCCCCAACCCGTATCCGATCCGGATACGAGTCCGAAGTGTCACATTGACTTTTTAAACATTTATTCGTATAAAATAGTGAGTAATTTAAAAACTTTGATAACATTTAACTTATTCAAAACGTTTACAAAATATATATCAGAGTTCATACAATTTATGTCTTCAGACTACATGCTAACTACACTCTATATACAGTACCTATATTTTCTGATCTGACATTTGGTAAGGAAAACTGACCTGTCTTGCTCCGCATTACTCTTTACTCTTCTCGAAACCTACGTGTGAAACAATCACACGCTAAGTCGAAGACTTAGTGAGGCATAACAACTTATAATGCACTTTATAACATATATCAATACATGCATGTTCTGTTATATCATGTTATATCAATTCCATGTATTCTTCGTATCATATAAAATCATATCAGATCAATTGCAGTAAATCCATACATACACATAATTCATTAACAGTTTATCATGTAATCAATACTTTTATGGTTAACATTTTCAATCAACACTACACACACACATCATCATTTCTATAACATTTATCATACCACTAACATATATTTGTTCATATCTCTGGATTAGCCCATGTACATATGTGAGAACTATCGATATGTGAGTCTATAGGGTTGTGCACTAATGCTGTCACCACAGCTCGTATAATTGCATCGAAGTGCCGCGTAGATTGCAACCGTTGCCATATAAAAATGTCCATAAGGACCACATATTATTCCTTAAGAATCATATACATATACTAGGGATCAAGTATGTGTCTTTCAAGACTTCACACATGTTCCACAGAATATATATCCCGAAGGACCGCGTAGAATTGCACCGTAGTGCCATATAATGATGTCCATAAGGATCACATATTATTCCTTAAGAATCATATACATATACTAGGGATCAAGTATGTGTCTTTCAAGACTTCACACATGTTCCAAAGAATATACATATGTCCCGAAGGACCGCGTAGACCCTCGACTCTTGGCATGCCAACTATACCCCTAGCTCTCATGACACATAACATGGGCGTTATTATTTATTTCATTTCAAATATTCACATAAACTTGTAATTCACGTATCACATATCCGTATCACATAGCTTCTTTTCATATTATCACATAGTCATAGTTCACTTACACGTAGATCATTCCATATAATTCACATGTCACATATATCATGTTATCATATAATTCTATCATTTCTCACCCAATCACATTTATTCATGTAAACATACTATCATATCTTGTTCACATAAGATCATATACTTAATATAACATATAGAAACCTAGAACACCTTCACGTAACTTATAGTCATAGGTCTTATCTCATAACATATACTTGTTTTCACATATATATTTCATATCATTTCTTATACCCTCACATAATTCATTAACATACATAACATATCATGTAACATTATAATAGAAATACCTATAAGTCATATCACTTAGAGCACATATACTTATAGTCACATTGCTTATATCTAATCTTATGCCTTCTCTTAGACATATATATATATATATATATATATATATATATAATATATATTCACATGTTCAGGTAATCCACCATTTCATCACATAATTATGTATTCATATAACTCATTTTTTTCTATCTATCTATATATATATCTCAAGATTTATCCTAATATAAATCATATAGCACTCTTATAATTCATATTCATATTCATCTATGTCGGACTTATAAACATCTCACTTCTATATTTCTTTATATATAATATAATATGTTTATTTAATTCATTCATATAACTCTTATAATCTTCTCATATAGCTTCATAAATTTCTATCATACAACCCCTGTGTTATAGTTTTATTTAAACATATGAATATTCCCATCTAGCTTATCTTATATGCTCATATTATCATTTATGTTCAAATCTCCTAGTTAGTGTACTATTCTCACATTATCCTATATATCATATATCTAGCTTATTTCACTTATCATTTAATAATAATTATATTTTACTATGATCACATAGTTTATATCTCATATAATTCATAACCTTTCTATGTAATCACTTATACTTTATCACCTAACACATAAAAGAACAGATCAATCCATATAATCAAGCATACATACATGCATATTCAACTCATGCCTTTAATCATGAATTCAGTGTAACACTTCAGGAAATAGACTCATCGCAAGTCTTATTCCCATCGCACATCATATACTATGAATATGCACTCACCTGGCCTCACTAGTCAAATTCCAATCTCTTATCTTTCCCTTGATCGATCTTACTTGTCAATGATTCCGGAACTGCTTTACGCGCAGAATCTACATAAATGTACATTTTGAGGCAATCATTAGATACCTACACCTTTTAATTAGATACTAGCAACTTAAACGAACTTATTAAACCAATATTCTCATTTTTCCTTTAGGGGGAATCGGTTCCCTACTATGGGGGTATCGATTCCCTAATGACATTCTGAAAATGTTGTTCGTTTGAAGGGGTATCGGTTCCCCTTGAATGGTTCAATGTGTTCTAATTCCAATTCTAACACTTCATACTTCTTAATTAGATTGATGACAAGTCAAATTCATCCATAAAACTTCAACAACCATACCATATCAAAATTTCATCTTAAAAACTCATATTGCAAATTCCTTCATAATTCCTTTATCTTATTGTTTAAATCCCATATAAGCTTTCCTTAAGCTTATTTAATACCCAAAGAATCAAAAACTAAGCTTAAAACTCAAGAATTAACCAACTGAAATTAAACTTACCTTTGCCTTGCTCTCCCACGTATGAAGAAGAAGAAAGGAGAAGAGAACTCTGGATGTTTCTCATATTTCCCCACGTTTATATTACCTTTAAAAGGAATATAAAAATCTTTCTGGTCAAATGACCATTTAACCCTTAATTTCCTTTAATAATTACTAATTAACCTTCATCATATATATCCAATAATCATTGAACTATTTCATTCTTATACTTTAGTCACCAAATTCTGAAACTTTACAATTTGGTCACTAACCCGGTATTGAGGATGTTACAGCACTAATGTTGTCACCACAGCTCGTATCAATTCCCTTATGGGACACCGAACCTTAGTTCAGTATTCGTCCTAAAAGACTGTCATATATGTCCCGTAGGACCACTACATCCCGAAGGACTACGTCCCGAAGGACTATTATACCCTCGACTCTTGGCATGCCAATTACACCTATAGCTCTCATATCGTATACTATGGGCATTATTCTTATATTCTATATGTTCATGTACTCATGTCATTTCTCTTGTGATCATGTAGCTCATGTCATTTCTCTTGTGATCATGTAGCTCATGTCATGTTCTCATATCACATATCATATCACCTGTGTATTTGAATCTATTCATATATATACATCATTTATCCAATCACATGAACATGAACATATATATGCCTTATGCATGTATTACAATAATTATCATATATGCATGTTCACAACTATTGTACTATGAAAATCAATATAGGAATTAGACTTATCACAAGTATTATTCCATTATACTATACATATAGTATGCACTCACCTTAGCTTTGCTTTGATTCGATTCTAATCCTTTGATCGTTCCGGAATAAGCTTACTTTTAGTATCTACATAATCACACATGGATATATATCAATATTATAGCTAATATACTCTAATGGTTCACTCTTTAGATTAAGATAAATGCCAATTTCCTCTTTTAATGAAGGTATGCATCGATGCACTACTTGTGCATCGGTGCATAAAATACATTCGATATTTTATTATTAATGGGATGCATCGATGCATGCCTTATGCATCGATGCATGCCTTATGCATCGATGCACTAATTGCATTCGATCTTTTTTATTTTAAAAGAGTGCATCGATACACCTTCAAACGCTTTCTGGGTTTTAACCTTGATGCATCGATGCACTAAGAATATGCATCGATGCACTCTGCCCAGAATCCTCTTTTTGAACCCGAAAATTCATTCATTTTGGATTAAATCCTTCATGTTTAATCCTCTTTTTCATTCTTAACTATAGTACACATCCTTAAACCAATTTATACTCATTTATTTCATCTTAAACCTCCAAATTCTATCCTTCATATGTAATTTAATAATTACATCAATAATTCAACATGTTTGAATTCCACTTCTAACACTTCGTATATCTTAACTAGATTGATGACAAGTCAAATTTAACTTTCAATTCTAGTTATGAACTCTATTCCAAGATTTCATTTAAGAACTTCAAATCTTAAATCTCTCCTAACTCCATCATCCTTTGATGTTAAGATAACTTAAGCTTTCCTTAAGCTTAGTTATCATCTAATAATCAAAGCCCAATATTAAATTTAACAAGAAATTCAATAATCAGAAATCTTACATTTACTTTGGTTCACACGCACAAGGAAGAAAGAAGAAGAAGAGAACTCTGGAAGCCTTGGGTGTTTTCTCCCCTTCCACCCACGTGTATCCTTATATATACATAATTATCCTTTCTTTAATTATTTTTCCTTGCAATTACTCTATTGTCCTTCAATTCCTTATTCCTTTCAATTCCATCCTACACAATAATTTACATGTAAATCTTTATACTATTCATTCATTTTATTTTAACCACCAAATTCTGAGACTTTACAATTTAGTCACTAACCCGGTATTGAGGATGTTACAGAATCGAGCTTGAATTGAGCTCAGAATCGAGTTCAGAATCGAGCTTGAATCGAGCTCATAATCGAGCTTGAGTCTCGAGTTTTAATCGAGCTCTTAATTTTTTTTGAGTTCGAGCCTTTTCGAGTTCGAGTCGAGCTCAGCAATACTCAAGCTTGACTCGGCACATCTACACCCCTAGGTAGGGTCTCCAACGTTTATGTTCGTTTATGTTTGTGTTCATTTATGTTCATGTTCGTTTATGTTCGTTTATTTATTAAATGAACGAACATGAACAAGTTATATTCCTTACTAAATGAACATGAACAAAAAAAATTGTTCGTTTATGTTCATGTTCGTTTATTTATTAAATGAACGAACATGAATATACATCCGTTCGTGTGCGTTCGGTTCATTTACAGGCCTACTCCACTAGAGTCATTGTCTTTATTTTTTCCTTAGGTAAAGTTAATTAATTTAGGATGTTTATTTATTTAGGCAAATAATGTGAATAATATATATATATATATATATTAGTATGAGTAAAATTTGATTCATTTTGAAAACAATTATTTTTTGCTTCAAATTATTGAGTCGAGTTATTTTTTTTAATTTTTTTATTGTTAAGTCTTGCAAGTCGTAATTTTCCTTTTTAGTTTTATCTCATTGGTAAATCATCATCTTTTTTTCTTTTTGTATTTGTTGATCGGTGACAATATTAATTTTAATGTTGGTTCCATACCATCGGTATTTTTTTATTGTTCTTTTATTCTCTTATTTTTTATTTTCAATAAGTCTGCCTGCATCACATGTTTTATTCTACCTTTATGGCACGTTTTCTTCTGGCTTTTGACACGTTTTTCTACCGTTATTTTTATTTATCTTTTTCTAAGGATTGATTAGACATTGTCACGACTGATTGATATTGTGCTT